AGGGTATGAGGGGCCTGAGGTTATGAGGACCGGCAATCGCGACGGCGGCTGCCATGGCAGCGGTAATCGACTCGGTCGGGCATTTAGCCAGTGGGTTCGGAGCCTGGGTTGCCGCCAAGTGCTGAGCGTGAGCTCGGATCTGCGCACGACGTTGGGCATGAGCCTCCCGTCTCACGGCCGCAATTTGGTGTTGCGCCTGCCCCTGCGTCTGCCCCATGTATCCTTGAGAAAAGGCCCGGGCCTGCGCCTGCTGGTAGGCCCGATGCCCTCTGCTGTAACTTCGTCCCCGGCTCGTAGCTTGGGCCGATACGGGAACCCACTGGAACTGGGTTTGCTGTTGAGCATGCTGTTGTTGAGCATTCTGACGTTGAGCTTACTGCACGGGGGAGGGGGGGTCGAACCAGTCGTGGAGGGTCGCCGGGGGGTTGTTGTTGTGGTGGTGGTGGTGAGGGGTGGTGTTGCGGGAGGGGAGGTCGAACCAGGCGTTGAGAGTTGAGATGGCTTGCGGGGATAAGGGTGAGAGGGAAGGTAGGGAGGGGGGAGGTTGAGAGGAGCGGGGAGGGCTGTTGGTGGTGGTCTCGATGGGGCCCGGGCTGGTGCAGTAGAAGAGTTGGTCGGTCCAGGGGAAGATGGCGGGCGAGTTGTCGTGCCAGAGCGAGCTGGTGGACTGCGCTGGCCATCCACTGCGAGAAATCTGGCCGGTGGTTTCGGGGAGTCTTGAGAACATGGGCCCGCCAAGGGGCGGGATGTCGCCGGCGAGGAGGGGCGGGAAGGGCGCTCCCGTATGACCAGGGGGCATGCCGAGGCAGGGGGGAAAGGTCGGGCCGGGCTCGAAATAGAAGTTTTGGTCCTCGAAGTCGTCGTCTTCTTCTACCAGCTCGTCGTCGGCGTCGTAAACGTCGGCATAAACGCTTGACAGATGGCCACACCTTTCTTCGTCATGGTTCTGGTCATGGGCGATGGAATTGTTGCGAAAGGAGTTCGCACCAACACCGGATCCCAGAAAAGACATGATTCTCTCGGATGGGCGCGCGACGGGCTGGTCGTTATTCGATCACTGTTGAGTTGGCTAACTTGTGCTGGACTCAGGGGCAGTGACACCGGAAGAGAAAAGGGGGACGGCCGCACGGTAAGATAAGAAATAAAGAATGTGGCATGCAGATGTGTAGAGTATGGAATGTTGAAAAGATTATAAGAAAGGATGGGTTGAGGGGGCTGGCTTAAAGAACGGCAACAAAGGATACACTCCAGGTTGGTGATGTTTGAAAGAGGGAGGAAGATGGTAGCTATATACTCATCCTTGATGCGGGCCTGACTCCCACAATAGAGTGTTTACCAGTGCAGACTTTATCAAGCTTCAAGTTGCTTGCCATTTATTTGCCTATTGTGCAACTATTGTTGAGGGGGTGCAAACTCAAACACGGTGCATCCCATCCAACAACACCGCACTTGCACAATGCCAACATCACCACCAACAATAGCAGCACAATGGCCCTTCCATCCCACCAACGCCCGATACTCAATGCTCCAACGCATCCTCAAACAGCCTCCTCAACTGATCCCTCTCCTGCTCCAACTCCTTTGCCAGCCCCGGCGCCAACATCAGCACCCGAGCCTGGGGTATGGTACCCTCGACCAACTCCTCGATATGCTCACGGCCAAACCCCAACTCCTTCAGCCCCTTGGGCTGGTCGCCCAGATCCGCCAAGAACTTCGTCAGGGCCTCGGCCAGCACCTCGCCGGCGCTCTCCTTCTTGACGCTGCTGACGTCGACGCCAAAGGCCTCGGCGGCGGCGAGGTGGCGCTCCGGGTTCGACGGCCCCGTGAAGCGGAACACGGCCGGCGCCGACACGGCCACCGACACGCCGTGCGGGATGATGGGCACGTCAATCTCGTACCCGGCGTGTCGGTAGCCGGGGTTTTGGCCCGAGATGGGGTACGACATGCCTGGTGAGGGGGGAAAGGGGGGTGGTTAGCAATGATATCTATCTATATTCCGTTTTTATCGGCGGTCGTTTGGGATTCAACTCACCATGACACAAATGCACCCCGGCATTCCCAAACCCCACCCCCGCGAGCGTACTCGCCAGCAGCATCTCACTCTGCGCCTCCATATCATCGGGATCCCGCACCGACCGCGGCAGGTACTTGACCGTCTGGCGCAGGGCATTCAACGAAAAGATATCGCTGATGGGGTTGGCGCCCTGGTAGGCCGGGCGGAGGATGGGGTTGGCCGGGCGCGGGGTGCGCTCCTGGAAGGGGATGGCGGTCCAGCTCTCGAGCGAGTGACAGAGTACGTCGAGCCCGGACGCGGCTTTCACGGCGGCCGGCATGGTGCGCGTGTTGAGCGGGTCGCAGATGCCGAGGGTGGGCTTGAGGTTGCGGTGCGCGACGCCCGTCTTGGCCCGCCGCGAGGCCAGGTCGAAGATGGCTGTGCCGGTCGTCTCGCTGCCGGTGCCGGCTGTGGTGGGGACCGCGATGAGCGGTTTGAGTTTGCGGTCGATGGGCCGCCCCTTGCCGAGGGGCGCGTTGACAAAGTCCAGGAAGTCCGCGTCCGGGTAGCAGGAGTACAGGTTCATCAGCTTGGCGGTGTCCATGACGGAGCCGCCGCCGACGGCGAGGAAGGCGTCCGGCGCGTACGGCTTGGTCCATTCGATGGCCTCCTTGACACTGCGAGCAGGCTTGTCAGTGGCTGAGGGGGTAAAGGGAAGGGAGAGAGACCTACGAATAATCCTTCGGCTCCACCACCACCTTCGCATAAACCCGATACTCGATCCCCTCGGCATCCAGCGCCTCGCGCACCTGGCGCATAGCCTCAAGACGGTCCACGGTCGGATCTGTCACCACAGCGACCCGCTTCGCACCCATGTTGGCCAGGTCCATGCCGACCTCGCGGGTGACGCCGGGGCCGAAGCGGATGGACGACGCGGCCATCTCGAAGGCGTACTCCTTCTGCTGCGCCGGGTCACGGGGAGTGGCATAGCCGCGGCTGCTTCCTCGGGTGATGTTGCCGTGGAGGGATGAGGTGCGGTCCGCGAAGCGGGAGACGGTGGTCAGGGCGGAGGGCGCGGTGGCGGCGTGGTGGTGGTGGTTGGGGTTGGAGTGGCAGGGGCAGGAGGGCGGGTGGCTGAATTGGACTGTGCGGAGGAGGTTGACTGCCCGGGCGGCCCGCTGGGTGTTGGGTGAGTGAGTTAGATGAGGTGTGAGTGAGAAGGTGAGGGGGGAGGAGGCTTACGTTGGGTAGAGCACGGATAGTTGCTGCCCCCATACTTGACTGCTAGGTTCGCGAAGCTGGAATAGGGTGTTGATGATGGATTCAGGGATGGAGTTTTCTGGTTTACTGACTTCAATGAGATGAGAACCCAAAATAGGACAAAGTATGTAAAGAGAAAGTAGGTCCCTGCATACAGACAAGATAAATGCAACACAAGCACGGCACGGCAGACGCTCCGAGGCATCAACCTCCTTCCCCCGGACCGAGCCCCCGCTACCCCACACTCCGGTTAAGCAACTCCCGAGCGGGCTGCGGCGGGTTGCGCCGGATTTAAACGCAATCTTGACGCCTCTCATAGGCTACTGCTCGTTCTTTTTGGCATGCCCTCGCTTGCTCCGCGGTGGGGCACCGGTACCTGGCCTCACATTTTATACAGGGAAACCAGATCCAAGGGACTGGAGAACAACACCGATGCTCGTCATCAAACGGCTTCGTTTATCCGCCACCGTACCCTCAGTATCCCATTCCAACGCCCTTAGTATTTGATTTAATGTTGCAACTAGGAAATGATTAAAAACTCGGTATGCTACATGCTAAGAAGGAAGAAATATTTACTTACCATCCATACTACTAACCGCCGAAGCTGTTTGTGGGAAGTTTGGGATACGGTCTCCCAATGCAACCGCAACAAGGGGCTGTAGACGGGCATCGCTCGTAGTGACGTTCATATTGAACATGCGGGCCGCCAAGTTGCGATCACTATCAAGGGAAGCGAAATCAGTATCTGAATCGAGGGGTCATCGGGAGAACACCAAAGCAGTAATATACAGCTAACCTTGTCTTACAACGGGTTTCCCATCTACCTACATCCACACGCACCGCCGCGAGCTTATTTTGTACGTCGGTCAGATTTGAGTTAGTTAATAGTTTGTAAAATTTCGTACAAGTTGGCACCGCCATCCAACGTTGGACCACTGAGACAGGAGACCGAATCTGTCAGAAATTGCAGCGAAGTCTGATTGTAACTGCGCTGTGGGAGGTGATTCGGGATGGACTTGATTGATGGTTGGGTGGGTTGGTTGGTTGCTGAAGAGCCCCGGATTCTTGGGGATTGTGGTGGTCCACCAGGCGGAGCTTCCCCGCACAAACCAGCTCCATTGCGCATGCGTGGACGGCAACAAGGTATTCGTTTGTGGTAGATACGAGTCAGGGTTGGCTTCGTCGGCCAAGGAGGTATATTCAACAGGAAAAGTAACAGCAACAAAAAACACGACCGCTCGCTTTTGCAAATCTAGTACACCTCCAACACATAGCGCCCATCCTCCTTCAACCTCTCAATCTCCTTGCGAGGATCCACCTTCTTCGCGCCCTCCCTCGCCTCGACCGCGATCGCCTCCTCCAACACGGCCGTGACATCCGGCACCGGCCAGGTCGGCCCGCACAGGTAAAACGACCCCTCATCCTTGATGTACGCCTGCACAATGTCGGCAATGGTCTGGCGCATGCGGTCCTGGATGTAGATCTTCTGGGGCTGGTCGCGCGAGAAGGCGGCGCCCAGCAGCGTGATGACGCCCGCGTCCATGTACGCCTCCCACTCCTCGCCGTACAGGTACTCCTCGCGCTGGTGCCGGCTGCCGAGGTACAGCAGAATCGCGCCGATGTCCTTGCCCTGCGCCTTCTGCATGGCGCGGTACTGCACGAACGCGCGGAACGGCGCCAGGCCCGTGCCCAGCCCGGCCATGATCAGCGGGGCGGTGTCCGCCGTGGGGAGTTTCATGACGGAGGGCTTGACGGAGACGGTGACGGCCGTGCCGGGCTTGAGCCCCGACAGGTAGCGCGTGGCCTGTCCGTAGCGCGTGCGGCCCTTGGTGTCGACCCAGTCGACGACGACGATCATGAGCGCGACGGAGGTGGGGGTGACGGCCTGCGCTGAGGCAATGCTGTACTCGCGGCGCTTGAGCGGCGCCACGATGCGCACGAGGTCCGGGAAGGTGGGGTGCGCCGACCGGAACATCTCCAGCACGTCGACGTAGTTGACCGTCTCGACTTCGGAGAGGCGCTTGAACTCGTCGGCGCCGTCCTTGCCGCCGAGGAACTCGAGCTTCTTCTTCTCGGCCTCGTCCGTCGCGAACTCGGCGAGCGACTCGAAAAAGCGCTTGGGTGGCTTGCCTAGGATGTCCAGGTTCTGCACGAGTGACTGGTACACGGTGCGCGTCTCGGCGACGGCGGGGTCCTCGCGAGAGGGAACCTGTACGAGGTCGTCGGCGTTGAGACCGTAGAAGTTGATGAAGTCCACCACCTGTTTTTGGGTCGTTGTCGGCGTGGAATGCCCAAGGGCTTCGCCAATGTTGTACGTGAGGCCCAGAGGTGCCCGAGGTCGAACTCGATGTGGAAGATGTTGCGGTCGTAGGCATCCGGCGTGAGGCGGCGGTTCTCCTGGACGTGGACCGTGAATGTCTTCACCGTGAGGTCGGGACGCAGGTCGATCTGGGTGCCGTACGCCTCCTTGAAGACGAGGCCCTTGGCTGCCTCCTGCCAGCTGTCGAGCTTGAGCGCCGGCTCCTGCTCATCCTTCTCGAAAGCCAAGAAGCTGGTGGGCGTGAACGCCTTCAAGGGCACGGCAGGGGCCTCGGCCACCTCAGCCCAGGCAGCGAGGACCTCGACGGCCTTGAGCGCTTGTGGGAGGGTGTCGGCAAACTCGGAAAGGGTCACTTCGCCCTGGGCGACTTCGCCAAACTTGGCAAGCTCGGGCAGCGTCATCTCGGGGCGGGCGACGTGCAAGAAGGCAAGCTGGGCTAGGAGCTCGGCGTCCTTCTCCAGGGCAGGCGAGAAAGAAGAATCGAGAACAAAAAGCTCGAGACCCTTTTCTTGGATCTGCTTCCGGGCCGCAGCCGGGATCCGCTTTTCCAAGTCCTCCTTCTTGAAGTTGGGTAACCGGAGGATGAGCTTGCTGCCAGCCTTCGAACCCTTGACGACGTCAACGTCCTTGAGCAGCTTCTCCTCGGCAACAAAGACAACATCGGCCTCCTCGATGGCAAAGGGCGCCTCGATGACCTTCTCAGAGCTCCGGATATCAGTGCGCACGGCGCCACCTTGGACGAGGTTGTCATACGTCTCGTGGACGTAGACATTGTTAGGAGCCTCGCGCGCGAGCAGCTTGCCAAGAGACTTGGGCGCAGCAACAGCCGACGAGTTGTCAACGTCCCAGAAGGTGTACTGACGGGCCTGCTCCAGGGCTTGCAGCGCCAGCCTGATCTCGTTCTGGCTGTCCTTGGCCGTGAGCTGGTGGATGATGGAGGCAACCGAGCTGGGAGTGTGGACCGTCGACGCAGCATACTTGACGTCGACAACCACCGGCTCGTGCGGCCGGTCGGCAAACGAGATGGCCGTGAGGACGTCCGAGTACAGCGCAGACTGCACAGACGCATCGTCCACCGCCACGCCGTCACGGACCTGGCCGAGCACGGCGATCTGGCGCACCGATTCGGGGAGGGCCTCGAGGAAAGCCTCCTCGATGAACGGCCGGTAGATGCGGACGTTGATAGCACCGACCTTCTTGCCCTCGGCGGCGAGCGTGTTCACCACCTGCTTGGCAAGCTGGGCCTCGGCGCTGCCAAAAACCACGAGGACCAGCTCCGGTGCCTCATGACCATGGTACTCGAACGGGGCGTACGCGGTTCCGAGCTCGCTGTTGAACGAGCGCAGGAGCTCGACCACCTTGCCGGCGGTGTCCAGTCTCTTGTTCAGAGCGCCGGCGGCCTGGGCAACTTTCTTGTAGAGGTCGGCGATGCTGGTCTCGCCCAGGGCATCTACCACTCTCAACGTCTCCCTGGCCGTGCGGAGGCCGTCGTAGACATGGAGCGTGGGCAGCAGCGAAGCCAAGGCCGTCGCAAGAAGCGACATGTGCTGGATTTCGTAAGCAGAAGCGCTGGAGACGAGACCGAGACCCAGGTCCTCGGCAGTTTGGAGGGCGCTCTCGTAGTCGACGACCAGGCCATCGTGGGCCGAGTAGTCGGTAGCCGCGATGTGGGCAACGAAGGGGCTGGCTACCCCATACAGAAGGGAAAGCTGGTCGAGGGCCGAGCGCAAGTGACGAAGGCTCAGCGACGGAGCCAGGAGAGTCTGGGGGATGTGGCGCTTGCTGAGGTCAAAATCCTTGGAGAAAATGTAGCCCAGCGCAAAGGTGCCGGCGCCGGCCCGGGTCTGGAGCGGTACCACAGTTGTTGTCTCGCCATGGATGTTCTTCTCGTCGGCATGCGACCACTCCTTCACGGCATTGTCGAGGTCGAAGGTCTCAGGAGAGAGAGAGAAGATCTTGTCGGAGAGCTTGTAAGCCGCCTGCTGGACGAGCAACTGGCCGGTGACATATGTCGGTCCGGAGATGGAGCTGAGGGGGATCTGCTGGGTCGAGACGGTCTTTTTGAGTCCCGTGGGGGTTGTGTTCGCTTCTGGAGCGGGCACAACGCCTCCCGTGGTCACCTCGTGCTTCAATTGCATGGTGGGCGGTTTTATATCGTCTTCAATGGCAGTGGCGGACTGGCTCTTGAACACTTCTTCAAGAGCAGGGACTTGGCCGTTCGCAAAGTAACGAGGCAAGAGGGACGAGAATGGCCCGGGAGATGCCTCGAAGCGTTTGCGAACCGCAGAAACGGAGAGAAACGACTGCGCCAGCGAGAAATGCTGGGAATTGGTGGAATTGAGGCTCTTCTGGACTCGAGAAGAGAGTTCTGCAAAAAGAAAATCACTGAACGGAGAAGTTTATCCTACCTTTTTGTCATCCCGCCGGTCCACGGCAACCCGCGTGGCGTCTCCATAAAGTACCGCAACATGACTACGCAGTATGGCAAATTCTGGACCGAGCCATCAAAATGCTGTGGCTTCGTCTCGAAGTCGCGTTGATGGAGGACGATGGCGTGATTGACGCTAGCCATATTTGGTGGTTTTGTGGGGGTCGCTGATTTCAAACGACGGGGTTTTGTAAGCGGGAGCACGTGGGGGGGCACGTGTTGAGGCTCCGATTCCGGTTCCGTGGCCACCGAGCCGCCGACAGCCACCGAGCTCCGACACCGAGCCACCGTCGAGCCGGCCGACTTCAGGAGAGGCCAGCTCAGTCGTCGAGCTCTTCATTTTTCTGTGTATTTTGCCGTGCGTGCCTGAGTTCCCAAGAACCAGGATACGGGGAACAGAAACGACGTTCAAGCCAGAGCATGGTATGTGTTACTATGCTGGTCCTCTGTAGCCTCGTAGGAGATCTTCCCAGTTTTGCCAGTATTACTATTCTGTGACTTGTGTCAACAGAGCGGAGGAAGAGAAGAAGTGGATTGAAAAGGGAGAGCTGTATTGGATTCGTAGAAGTTATTTGTGGAAGCACGGATGCTTCCAGGCTCCGCAGACGATTCGAGCGGCCGGACAGAGGAGCCCCTTCTTGGCACGGCGAAAGGGTCCACTTCTCCGAATGTGGGGGAATATCTTCTTGCGCAGAGTGGTCGCACAATCGTCGCACACAGCATTCGATGTTGTGAGACGGGAAAAGATAAGAAGTCAATAGTGCGCATTTTGTATTTTTATCAGATTCTTGCACTGAAGTTCAACATACATACTACACTTCCCGAGTGTGTCTTTTCCGCTCGGCCTTTTCCTCGTCAGTTAACAATGACAGCATGAGCATGCCGTGGCGATCTCGCCAAGCCGGCGAAGTGGAAACTTAACCCGGAGCGGCGGCGGTGCTCGGGCACCAGGCCGGCCCGGTCTTCAGTAGAACTACTTGGAAACAGACGGAGTCCGGTGTGTCCGGCTCCGAATCTGTCTCAAGTCATCCCACCGTCGCCGTCAATGCGCCAAGTCTGCACGCCTGATGCGTCATGGAGCGTCATGGGGTCGAAATTGCAAAATCCGGGCGCCGATGCGGGAGGCGATCCCGAACCGGCTGCGGCTTTTGTGCGTCGCGAGCTGGCCAATGATTTAATCTCGCCACCCTCGTCATGGCCAGACTGATGATGCATTCATCCTTGGCATAAGCTTGCGATGAACCAGACCACATACTTGCTGCGAGGCAACAAGCGGGCATTCTCAGGTACAGTATTTATTTCATTCAGGGTGGTGTGACTTTAAACTGACTTCCTGGCGTTGGTTCGAAGACTGAAGAATGTTGGGACAAAGAAAATGCAAATGCTGGGATGCGGGTGTACTTTTCGAACAGAGCGGGAGGACTCGACTGCCGGATCTCCCAGATGCAAGTCCGAGATCGATGAAAATCTGGGGAAAACCAGAAACTGGAGTGGAAGGAACAATCCAGCCAGCCAGCTTTTCCGGAGCCAGCAATCACGCCCAACTTGGCAAGCGGATCCAAAACCATCACGGAATCCAGACAACCGCAGCCCTCTTGGCACAGCAAACTGCGCCAATTGTGCGTGAAAACTGCTGAATAATTCTGGAAACGGTGACAAGAGCAAAAAATATCGCCTTCAATGGCGTTTAGGGAAGACGTAGTCGTTGCACTGTAACTATATCAATCGTGTCAGCCAAAAGGTCAGTCGCCTCCCTTCTTGCCCAGTCACTGGATGCCCTGTTTGCCATCAGATCGCCGTCAATTCTTTTTATTTATTATTGCTTCCATTCCTGTTCTTTGCATCACGGCCGTCTTACGCCCTGCACCGTCTTGTTCCCGTACAGCACCTGCAATCTCTCATTGACTGATTGCCCCAGTTCTCCATTTCCCCACGAGCAAACAGCAAACGGCGCCCAGATCGGCCCTTTCAGCCTATATCCCGGCGCTGGCGACCCCAGACATCCGCATTTCCTAGAAGGGAAACCTTTAATCTACGTCCGCTGTGCCACGTCCGACTGACATCGCCAATCACTCGAGTCGCACACACACTGCTGCTGCTTTCGGCACTAGCCAGCCGAAGAGACTCCGGCATATCCCCTCTGACTCGGCTCTGCTTGCTCTGACTCTACAGGGGTTGGGCCGCCCGGGTTGGGCAGCCGTCACTGCATATCACCATGGCACCCTCGATACGCCGGCCGATGACCGCCGGACCAGCTGAGACTGTCTCAACCTCGTTCCTGCTGGCCAATCTTCACTGTCCCACCTGTGTATCGACCATAAAGCGCGCCCTCCACGAGTCCTACGGGGAACTCATCAACTGGGTTTCACCCAATATAGTCACTTCTGTTGTGACCGTTGAGCACGCCCCGGCCGCATCTCCCCGGCAGATGCGCAAGGCCCTTGAGGAAAACGGCTTCGAAGTATGCGGCATCACAACCTCGTCCGACGCCGTGTCTGATCTCGATTTGGAACTTGGTGAAAGTCAGCAGCAGGGCGAAAGCAGCCACAGCAACATGGACCGCCCAGGGTCTGGATTCAGCCGGTGGTTCAAGCCCTCCGGGCCACAAGCCTCGCGGTCTCAAAAGACACTAGCTCATCTCGCAAACTGCGAGCAATGCCGAGGGACCATGGGCGCCGAAACGGATGAGAAGGGCGTGCTAGAGACTGTGTCCCACCATGCCAACCTGGCCTCCATTAAACCCACTAGTTCAAGCCAGCAAACCAGCGCCGCGTCCAAGTCTTTCATTGCCATTGAGAACGATATGGACCCATCGGCCCAGCCACTCTGGCGGGCTACGCTGGCCGTCGGAGGCATGACGTGCTCTGCCTGTGCCAACATGATCACCGAAGGGCTGAACAAGAACGATTGGGTTGCAAACGTCGTCGTCAACCTCCTCAGCAACAGCGCGACCGTGGACGTTAGGGAAAGGGACAAGGCTGACGAGCTGGTCCAGGCCATAGAAGACCTCGGGTACGAGGCAACACTCGACTCGGTGACTGACCTCAGCCAAGGGAAGCGGAAGGGCCCGGACCACTCAGACACCTGGCGGGTAACCGTCGCCATTGGCGGCATGACATGCGCCGCTTGCTCTAACGGTATCACAAGAGAAGTGAAGAAGAGGGATTGGGTCAAGGACATCAATGTCAACCTGCTCACCAACAGCGCCTCGGTAGACATCCAAGGACGCGACAATGCCGATAAGCTGGTGGAGGCGATCGAAGATCTCGGCTACGACGCCGCCCTTGACGCCGTCGTCAACTTGGCCCAGGAAGCCGCCGAGGACCACGAGCGGACTGTCGAGATTCGAATCGATGGCCTTTACTGCGGGCACTGCCCGGACCGCGTAACCAAAAGCCTCGCCGGCTTCCGGCGCCACCTCGAGGTCGTTACCGCACCAACCCGCCAGCGCCCCATCATGAAACTCACCTACACCCCGGACGTGCCGTCCTTCACTATCCGCCACATACTCGCCGCCGTCGAAGCAAGCGACCCGGGCTTCTCGGCTAGCATCTACCACCCACCCACTCTCGAAGAGCGCTCCAAGCAGATCCAGCGCAAACACCGTTTCCAAATCCTCTACCGCGTCCTCTTCACCGGCGCCGTTTGTATTCCCTCCTTCATCATCGGCATCGTGTATATGTCGCTGATCCCCGGTGACGACCACACCAAGCATTTTATGATGGCGGCCTGGACGTCGGGCATCAGCCGTGCGCAGATAGCGCTCTTCATCATGGCGACGCCCGTTTACTTCTTCGCCGCCGACCTCTTCCACCGTCGCGCCATCAAGGAGATCCGCACCCTCTGGCGGCGTGGCAGCAGGGTGCCCGTGTTGCAGCGGTTTTACCGGTTCGGTAGCATGAACACGCTCATGTCGTTGGGGACAACCATCGCGTACATCAGCTCAGTGAGCCAGATGATTGCCGCGGCGGCGTATCAGGCGGAAGAGGTCAACGACTCAAACTTCTACTTTGACTCGGTCGTGTTTTTGACCTTTTTCTTATTGTTGGGCCGGTTGATCGAGAGTTATAGCAAGTCGAAGACGGGCGATGCGGTGGAGATGCTGGCAAAGCTGAGGCCGACGACGGCCATTCTAGTGGAGGGGTACGGGACCGAGAAGGAGGAGGATGTGGTCGTCAAGGCGGATCTGCTCGACTTTGGGGATGTTGTGCGTGTCACCCATGGCGCTTCACCCCCGTCCGACGGTACGATCGTTAGGGGCGAGAGCAACTTTGACGAGTCCAGTCTGACGGGCGAGTCGCGGCTGGTAAAGAAAGTGCCGGGGGACGAGGTGTTCTCGGGGACGGTTAACAAGAACGCGTCGCTTTTGGTGCGCATCACCGGCGTGGCGGGGACGTCGTTGCTAGACCAGATCGTCCACGTCGTCCGGGAGGGCCAGACGAAGCGGGCGCCGATCGAGCAGGTTGCGGATATGATGACATCGTACTTTGTTCCCGTTGTCACTTTGATCGCCGTCCTCACCTGGATCATCTGGCTGTCTCTCGGCCTCGGCGGCCACATTCCGACTCATTACCTGGATGTCACCTCGGGCGGCTGGGTTGCGTTTTCGTTGCAGTTCGCCATATCGGTCTTCGTTGTGGCCTGCCCCTGTGGTCTCGCTCTCGCGGCTCCGACAGCCATCTTCGTCGGTAGCGGCCTCGCGGCGAAGCACGGCATCCTGGCCAAGGGCGGTGGCGAGGCGTTCGAGAAGGCCAGTAGAATCGACTGCGTCGTTTTCGACAAGACCGGGACCTTGACCATGGGCGGTGAGCCGAGCATCACCGACTCCGAGATCTACCGGGAAGATGCTTCCCAAAGGGATGCTGTCCTCGCAGCTCTCAAGGCAGTCGAGGAGAATAGCAGCCACCCCATCGCCAAAGCCATCGTCGCTTTCTGCGCCACCCATACCTCCTCCAGAGCCAACATCGACAACCTTCAGGAAGTCCCCGGGAAAGGGATGAAAGCAACATACCACAGCTCTTCCACGCCCGAATCGTCCTTCGAACTCGCCGTCGGCAACGAGTCTTTCATGTCGGACTTTTCCGTCTCCATCTCATCTGAGACAACCGCCACCCTCCAGCGCTGGAAATCCGAAGCCAAGTCGGTCGCGTTGGCCGCCACCCGACTCCTCGACAGTGAGAAGTGGACTCTCGCGGCAGCGCTCTCCATATCGGACCCCATCCGCCCCGAGGCCCCGCGTATTATCAAAGCCCTCCAGTCTCGCGGCACCCGCGTCTGGATGCTCTCGGGCGACAACCCCACCACGGCGGCGGCCGTCGCTCAACAGCTGGGCATCCCCGATGACCAAGTTATCGCTGGTGTGTTGCCGACGGGCAAGGCTGAGAAGATCAAGTATCTGCAGTCGACGCTCCGGGCACGCGTGGGGGACAAGGGCGAGTCCAGCACCAAGCGTGCGATGGTCGCCATGGTCGGCGATGGCATCAACGATTCTCCGGCGCTGGCCACGGCCGACGTTGGCGTGGCCATCGGGTCTGGCGCGGATGTGGCCATCAGCAGCGCCGATTTCGTGTTGGTCAAGAGTGACCTGCGCTCCGTGGTCGACCTCCTGGATCTGTCCAAGGTGGTCTTCACTCGCATCAAGTTCAACTTTGGGTGGGCTGTGGTGTATAACTGCATAGCGCTGCCCGTGGCTGCCGGCATCTTTTACCCCATCATGAGCAACGGGCAGCATGTCCGATTAGACCCTGTGTGGGCGAGTCTGGCGATGGCGTTGAGCAGTATAAGTGTGGTGCTGAGCTCGCTGGCGCTGAGGGTGCGGATGAATGGGATTGGGTACCGGGAGAGGCAAATTGAGTGAGCGAGTTATTTTGCGTGCGTTAGTTTTCTTGGTTGTGCTGGCGGCCTATGAGAAGGGACGGTTGGGTTGGACAGCATGCATGCGTTGGGTTGGTTTTGGCTCGTCACATACTTCTTACGGATAGATACCCATAGTTTTTATTCCATGTCTTCTGTCTTGTGTCTTGTATCACCAAGTTCTCTTATGCCTGGGGTGTTGGTGAAGCACTTGGCCCAGTTCACTCACCATCGCCGTGGATGAGACCTTGCACATTGACCTGGAGGTCGGTCCTGAAGCTCCGCAAGGGGGGTTGTCTTCGGTCCTGGTGGAAATGAGATGAATATCCACACTGTGCAGACATACTGTGATGTGTATGCCAAGGCTTGAGATCTGTGCAACTGAGCTCCTGCAAGCTCAAATCTGGCCGAGCCTGGTTCCAAAATGTGCAGTCAACATGAACAAGCAACGGAAGGAACCCAAATCCGTCCTCTTCATCTGATTTTCAGCCTTGCATATTGACCAATTCGTCTTACCCCCGCACATCCATTTGTCCGATTCTGGAGGTAGCCACAAAGAATAGCCCGATTCTTTCTCCTTATTTGAAAGCAACGACTCCAAACAGTGGGGGTTGGTCACTACGGTGACCACACCTGCAGCACCCAACTCCAGCCGCGGCACAGCTGCCGGGAACACACACAGTACACGGCAGAAGGACCCCATCTCGGCGAAAAGTCAAAAATGAATTCCAATGTGAAGCGCAAGTTCAATGCGCTTCTCCAGGGCATCGGCAGCCGCCCACCAGCTGAATACGGCACCGATCGCGACAGTCTAGCCGATCCCGCATCATCGCCCATTTCGCAGCACTCATCGCCGCAACGGCCGAGGACAATGGCAGGCGACAGCAGCGCCGACCTGCTGAAGAAGCGCCGCACCGGCGGACCGACGACCACACCCTCAAAATACACAACACTACAAACCACACCGATGCGATCCTCGCCCGCGAGCATACGCAGCGTCCCGCCGTCAACGACGACCGTCTCCAACGTCACCCTGCGCAAATGGACACCCGGCGCCGGCAGTCCAGCGCACGACGGAAGGGACGGGCTTCCGCCGCCGCCGAAATACTGCCCGGGCGACCGCGACCAGCTGCTGCGGCGGCTGACAACGTTCCAGGAGCTGACGGACTGGACACCGAAACCCGACCGCGTCAGCGAGGTGGAGTGGGCGAAGCGCGGCTGGGCGTGCCAGGGCAAGGAGCGGGTTAAGTGCACGCTCTGCGGCCGCGAGCTGGTGGTCAAGGTGAACCGGAAGGAGGTAGACGGGAAGGAGGTCGCGGTGCTGATCGCGTCTGAGGTGGCCGAGTCGGTCGTGGACGCGTATGCCGCGCTGATTGTCGAGTCGCATGCGGAGGACTGTCTGTGGAGGAAGAGGGGATGCGATGGTATGTTTTTTCCACCTACGGGCTATCCGCCACCTGAGTCACGCGTTCATAAGTTCATAACTAACCACCCCGCAGACTCCCTCCTGCGCCTGCCCCTCCCGAACCCGAAACTTGCCCTTTCAAGGCCTCCGCCAACGCTACGACGAACTCTGCGAACGCGCGCCCTTCCTCCCCTACGAATCCAACCTCCGCCTCCCGCCCACCCTCGACCTCGACACCATCATCACCCAGCTCCCCGTCGACTTCTTCA